CTCTGATTTCTCTATTCCAGGGGAGGGATGCAGTATACTAGCAAACTTGCTCAAAGCTTGGTTGACACTGTCTTTCACCAGGCTCACAATGTCATCCAACCTGGGCTCTAAACCTTCCTCCTCTAGACGTGAACAAACCTTTATAAACTTCCTTTGTAGACGAACAGGTAATCTCTTGGCAACAGTCTCAAGCACGGAACTTGAGTTCAATTCATCTACGCAGTTAAAAGACATGAGTGTATTTCTATATACCATCAAATTATCCAAGAACTCTGCAAGTTCCTCTGGATTATCATTCAACTGTGATCCGTTACCTTTCACTGTCTCGAAAATACTACGGGATATCATATATGGTTTTCCAAACCTTTGACGTAGTATCTTCATTGCCTCGGTATATCCTTCGTTCGGGGGCATAAACTTGCAGCACTGTATGGCTCTTGCAGCCACACCAGTGCAATATCTCAACAAATACATTAACTTCATTTCATCATTTAATACAAAACCACTCAGCATGACCTCAAACTCTTTGATGAACTGTGGGTAGTCGGCTGGGTTTCCATCGAAGTATCGCGGTTCAAACTTAGGCAATCTTAAGCCCTTACTATCACTTAACGGTGAAGCGTGAACATCAAACTCAACATGCTGAGCATCATACATATCATTACAATTAACAGGCAACTCATCGTTACTTACTTTTTTGTCTGCTTCCATGGTGCCACATCCCTTTCTTGACCCAGGCATTATCCAACGTCACCAAAGAATCCAAATTGCGTTGATAATCCTTGTCCAAAGAGAAGCTGGCTGCAGATCTAGTAAGTACACCCGGAAGAAGTCCAGAAGGCGCTCCAAAAAACGACCAAACGAATAAAAACTGCCCCAGATGGCAATCCAGAAGACGAACAGAAGAATAAAAACTGTCAAGGAACTTAGCCCTAAGTTCCTATCGTAATGAAGACTTAAGCGATTGAGCCGATAAATACTATGTACTTTCTTCAACTTTAAATCCAAAACACCAGTATTCCTTGAACGAAATTATATTGTTTGGCAATTAAATTGATGAAAACTACAAAGTCTACAAACAAATGTTAAGTACAAATGAAGTTATAAAGTACTTTTATTCGTATTTAACTCCAGTCTTCCTTCAACTTGCAAGCGATCGACCATTCGCGCCTTTCAGTTGCCCATTAATGGCTGCCAGACCCAATAAAACAAACGTTCAATGTTCACGTCCATTGACACTCCCCGGCAAAAAAGGGTCCATCCCTTTTTTCCACAGCGGCGGTAACCTTGAACTGAACTGCCAATGCGGGAACCTGGGCCAATCGGGACTAGGCTAAAATTGGAAAAGCAAGACAAAAAAGCCCAACACACAACAAGCATACCACATCACACCGACACGCTCTCCCCGGCGCATGGGATCTACGCTCTCTGACGACAGTACCACCACTGATCTGGTTCACGAAGTATTGATTGCTTCATTCCACTCTAGCCCAATCCTCTCCCCGGCGTATCCAATCGCATACACTGACTCTAACACTACTCGATTCGTTCACAAGTTTAGAAGCGACTTCAGAAGTACTTACAAAAACATTACAAGATGATTCACACAATGCGACAACTATAAAATTAACCGACAATCAGATGAATTGGAACCCACTGAATTACTCAACACAAACATATGTACAATCAATATATCAAATGTTGTGGATTCTGCCTTGACGAGCTACCCTTGAAGAACTGTAGGACTTACAGCAGTACGCCTACATTCCTTCTCAGGTTGACGATCCAAGTGGAAGACGTCCGGACACAAACAAAATTAATCAACAGATAGAAGAGGGATGATACCAATTCATTATATACAACATGAACATATGTACAAAATAATACACCAAGTACGATGGACTGCTCTTCGACGTACTACCCTTGAAGAATTGTAGGACTTACAGCAGTACGCCTACAACCCTTCTCAGGTTTACGCCCTTAAGTTGGAAAATCGTCGTTGAGTTCATTTGCTGACCTCCTTCCATCATCTATATCCTCGACTCTGAATGGAAACACGCCCATGACATTGTATCGTGGAAGGTAGATGACTAACAAACATACGACGTATCTGACCAACCAAGCGAAGGTACAGAGTAATTTGCACCAAAGATAATAACATTCAAATAGTAGTTTGAAACCTGAAATGCCTTTATTCGTGCAAGTCAGTCTAACAGTTACCACCTTGTACACAGTTGGCTTATCGTCACTAAACTGGCCATTGACTTTCGTCCCTTCGAACGGACCGACACTAGCATAATCACTGCATAAGACACGTTGGTTCATGGACGGCTCTTTTACTGCATATGACAACACCAACGACGACTGGCTGACACCAGTTGATGAACTTAGCGGTGTATCAGAAGCTGTTGTTGTTAGACCTTTAGGAGGTTGTCTAACCACAGGATTACCACCACTGCTATCTTTTATTATTGGCTCCAGTTCAGCTTTAACATCTGTCGATAGTTGGGCTACACTCGGATCACTTAAACTGACGGCCTCACGAGTATCCATATCTGCAGCAACCGCATCTGCCTTTAATTCTACTTTACGTTCAAGTTGTACAGAACCTTCGTTCAACTCAGTAGTAGTAGGCATTCCGCTAATCTCATCCTGATCAGCCAAAGACAAATGTGAACTATCGTGACCATTGTCACAAATACCCACTTTACCGCCGTCTGTATGATCGACTTCATCATTTTCACACTCTTTAATAACAGCCGTAGATGACTTAGGTTCTTCCTCATGAATCCTTAAAGGTTTTATTCCTTTACTCTGACTAGTAATACCTTGTAAACTTGTGTACTCAGAACTGGACACTGAAACTGTAACCCTCTTCTTATGCACGAACTGTGGTGTCGTCTGAGACACTCTTTTCAACAATGGATTACTAGTTACGACCACAGGCTTCTTCACCGCACCATTATCGATACACGATTCGGAGTCAGAACACGATGACGCTGACTTCACATTTAGCTTGCCACTAAACTTGCTCGTTGCTTCACAGTTCGCCTTTGTATGCACTTCTTGCAAACGGACGAAGCACAACCGTGTTTGTCTTGCAGCTTGTAACTTATCCGTTGGGGACGTCTCACTAAAGCTGTCACAATCATTAGGTTTACTAGACACCATACAGCTTTCTCGATATCCACTACGCTGAGACCCCTTCGTCATAAATGATTGCATTTTACTCTCTGATTTCTCTATTCCAGGGGAGGGATGCAGTATACTAGCAAACTTGCTCAAAGCTTGGTTGACACTGTCTTTCACCAGGCTCACAATGTCATCCAACCTGGGCTCTAAACCTTCCTCCTCTAGACGTGAACAAACCTTTATAAACTTCCTTTGTAGACGAACAGGTAATCTCTTGGCAACAGTCTCAAGCACGGAACTTGAGTTCAATTCATCTACGCAGTTAAGAGACATGAGTGTATTTCTATATACCATCAAATTATCCAAGAACTCTGCAAGTTCCTCTGGATTATCATTCAACTGTGATCCGTTACCTTTCACTGTCTCGAAAATACTACGGGATATCATATATGGTTTTCCAAACCTTTGACGTAGTATCTTCATTGCCTCGGTATATCCTTCGTTCGGGGGCATAAACTTGCAGCACTGTATGGCTCTTGCAGCCACACCAGTGCAATATCTCAACAAATACATTAACTTCATTTCATCATTTAATACAAAACCACTCAGCATGACCTCAAACTCTTTGATGAACTGTGGGTAGTCGGCTGGGTTTCCATCGAAGTATCGCGGTTCAAACTTAGGCAATCTTAAGCCCTTACTATCACTTAACGGTGAAGCGTGAACATCAAACTCAACATGCTGAGCATCATACATATCATTACAATTAACAGGCAACTCATCGTTACTTACTTTTTTGTCTGCTTCCATGGTGCCACATCCCTTTCTTGACCCAGGCATTATCCAACGTCACCAAAGAATCCAAATTGCGTTGATAATCCTTGTCCAAAGAGAAGCTGGCTGCAGATCTAGTAAGTACACCCGGAAGAAGTCCAGAAGGCGCTCCAAAAAACGACCAAACGAATAAAAACTGCCCCAGATGGCAATCCAGAAGATGAACAGAAGAATAAAAACTGTCAAGGAACTTAGCCCTAAGTTCCTATCGTAATGAAGACTTAAGCGATTGAGCCGATAAATACTATGTACTTTCTTCAACTTTAAATCCAAAACACCAGTATTCCTTGAACGAAATTATATTGTTTGGCAATTAAAGTGAAGAAAACTACAAAGTCTACAAACAAATGTTAAGTACAAATGAAGTTATAAAGTACTTTTATTCGTATTTAACTCCAGTCTTCCTTCAACTTGCAAGCGATCGACCATTCGCGCCTTTCAGTTGCCCATTAATGGCTGCCAGACCCAATAAAACAAACGTTCAATGTTCACGTCCATTGACAGCAGCCTTTCCAGCTTCGTACATTGTACGAACATTTCACGTCCTCATCCTTATTTTTGCTTTCATCGAAAGGAGGCACATCGGCTGACTGGCTTTTCGAAGGCTTTCACCAGCCTGCACCAATTCACTTCCCCGATTCCAGCAAAAAATAAGGTTAATGTTTATATTTTTAGTATTTTTATTATATTTATGCGTTGAAGTTTGGTTAAGTTTTGGGGGTGGAATTGCTAGCATCAAGCCCCAGCCCTCTCTCTTTATCCGGGCTTGGGACCGGCTCACTCAAAAAGGAGGCTTTCCTCAGTGATCTGATTCTACTGAAACTTCTATGCTCAATCTTAAAAACACTATGCTTCACTCGGCACACACAAGAATTCTTTTTAAATATTGACAATAATAATTAAAAGTAACTGCAGAATCTGACCTCTTTAATTACTCTACGCGCTTTCTTTTCATGAGGCATTCCATCTGTACAAAGTAAGCTCTGTTCAACAGCCTACTTCACTACTCCTTTTTATTTTTTTTTCAAATTTAGTTCCAATTGTACCTAAATTATTAGAAGACGATCTATACAGAGAATCTGGTAATACTACTCAACACCTGAATGAAACAAATGAAGAGGGTGATGAACACATTAGGATTGGTATTATGTTTGCTATTAAACCGTTAGTTCAGCTAATATCCAATCCATTTATTGGTCCAATAACAAACAGGTAGGTTTAGTTTTGTTTTAAAAGATGTACATATATATATACATTTTCACAGCTTCGTTCCTCTCAAGTACAAAAGCAATTTAGTAAAGACCCTCAGCCAGAGAGTTAGAGTGATATGCTCAGAAGGAGTAATCGAAGATGAATTAAGCATTGTATATGATACTTTGATTGAAAATAGCTATCCCGACAAATTTATCAAGAAAAAGGTGACAAAGAAAGCGGAAAAGGACTACTCACTATCCATAAACAAGAAGCCTCTTTGTATACGACTGCAATTCAAGGGCGATATAGACCAAGTGAAATAATTACGAAGAAATTAAGAAAATCAGTTCAAAGAACTTTTAATGCTGGCAAACTAAACTTCTTATCCTCTACACGACCCATGGAGATTTCTCGACTGAAACATGAAGTACCTAGACTAGCTGACCACTTCAAATTGTACCTACCTATTCAACTGCACTTGTGGTGAGGCGAGTTATATCGGTCGTTGCTCTAGGAACTTGATTTTTCGTGCTCGAGAGCATCTCCCACTATGGCTAAGTAAGGGTGAAGTAAAAACAATTTACAGTTCGATATTGGACTATTTGGTGCAAACCGGCCACAAAGACAGCATTAAAGGATGCTTCTCTGTCATCTACCGGGTTCCTAATAAATTACCAAAAACATCGAAGCACCACATGCTCCAAACAGCAGAGGCTATCTTGACTCGCCTGAAACAACCAGTGCTTTGTGCGCAAATGAAGAAAGTCCAGGCACTACTAGTGCCCTGGCTGGCCTTCAGTAGAGACTATAAATTCATGAATTTGTAATATTGTCTTTTCTAATTTTTCTGACATTAAGTTTATTGCTATGTTGATGCTACTGAACTGTGATCTAATGCTATTGTTGATTCGATGTTATTTAAACAACATTATTGTTGTTCATAACACTAATTCATTCACTTTTATGTATAGATAATTGTACAACCTGATGAAGAGCAGGTTATCGAAAAGAATATTCTTTGTTCAGTGTCCATTCTTATATATATATATATATATATATATATATATATATTACCGCTGGTGTTTCTATGACTGAGCGGGGAAGTGGTTGACCTGTTTTCCCACCCGAATTTTCTGAGTTCCACCTCCCATGCGGCAATGGGTACGTAATTCTGAAACGTCCCAGACTAAGGCAAAACCACTGCCCAGTACTATGCGTTGGTGGTTCAGTGGTTCAGTCCGGTTTTACACACACACAGTTTGGGTTATATTCGCAGCCAACATACTCCTAAACTTCTTACCTAGTTTTTAGTGAGAGCTGTTTGCAAGTCAAAATTGTACACAAAAATTTACGTCAGTATCCACGGCCCGAATCGAGGGCATGAGAAAAAACAACAACAAAGCTTAACCTTGAGGAACTCACTAGCCAATCACAGCAGACTTAATGTGTGCAAGTACGATTCGCAGATATATGGCTTAACTTTCTGAGAAACGGTCATAAGCAGTACAGAATAACCTTCAGCAAGAAAACAACTAATCAGAAGACGTTGCTTCTCCGCTAATAATAATGCACATAAAAATCTATAAATGTCTTTTGATTTTCTCAATGAACGATCTGTCGTTACAAGTTTACTAATATGTGGTAAGGCCAAAAAAGAGTGGCAAGTCTGCGAGTAAGGATAAAAAATCCATTCCATAAAAACACAAAATGATAGTTACTGAAACCTTTTACAGCAAAGGAGTCGGTAGTTCTTCTTCAGTATTCCCTGCAAATCCTAGATAATATATCTACTTAAGTAGACAGTGACTGGTCACCAAAAGTATAACAGTCGAAGCTGAAATACTTCGTTAGATTATACATAAAATTAAAGAAAATAAATACCAAAAACATGGAAGTATAGGCGAGTCTACATCACGAAGAATAGACGTATTTGCAGTATTGTGAAAGACTTTTAGCCATATCACCAACAATCTCCAGCCGTCGGTTCTTAACAATTCAAGAACACCAGCAAGATGGTCTACACTTCAAAAACCAACAGTCACAGAACTCATTGATTGGTGCAAGCTTTTAGTTTGACCTCTCATGAGTCTTTTCCAATTTAATTTCATAACAGTTAACACTGCTTATGGAGGAAGTCAGTGGTTAGCTAATTCAGTCAGTGTAGCCTCACAATCGTATTGATTGACATTTCCAGCTTACCTGAAGCTATTATGTCCAACCTGATTATTACTGAAGTTAGGATTTGCGTCCCTCAGTACAGAAATAAAAGCACCTGAGCTACATTCTATTGATACTTTTGTCTGTTAATCACCAAATATCAGGACGAAAAGTGATTGGTAGCCTTTACACTAAATATTATTATTATTCATTCCTTTAGTTCCTAGAGGAACATAGGGATGCAGCCGCACGTCTCCAGTGCGTTCGGTTCTCCGCCAAGGTTTTCACCTGGCTCCACATCTGCCCATATGCTTTTATCTTCTCTTCACATTACCTCCTACATGTTACCCTCGCACTGACGACCAACTCGCCGTTCCCCATTCGGATTCCACTCGAGCAATGGCCTGAAGTGTGATGTCACTAACTTGATGATTTGTTTTCTCAGAGTATGGCAAATCCAACACCATTTCTTTCTGCATATTTCTTGCACAATCGGTTCCTGCTGGGTTTGTTCGTTGATTGCCAGAGATCCCTGTTGCTGATGTTTTCTGGCCGACCATCTGATCTTGAGTAGTAGTGGGCGAAGATAGCAGTTGTTGATGAAGGCGTGTAGTTCGTTCGAAGTGCCTTTCGTGACGTGCTGGCCGAGTCTCTCATCTGTTTAGCAAGTAGCACTGACTTCGCATTGGATTTGAAAATACAGATCTTATTTTTCATGCTGAGTGTTGACCTCCACACAGACTTGAGAGTAATGAATGCTTGCATTTCCTTCCCGATCATCGCTTTGACATCCTCATCAGTTCTGTTCGCCTGTAGTTGAAACGATGCTTTCCAAGTAGGTAGGTAAAGGAGGTCGCTTCCTTCACATATCTCCCATTTATGCTGGCTGATTTTTGTCTGTTGCTGTTGTTACTAGGCAAAAAATATCAAACTAACCAATTTGTTTATATCTTTTATTTTCTAACAGAATTGGATACAGTATTCCAATGTTTACGGGACTTGTAATTTTATTGGTATCAACATTAGGTAAGTTATCTTAACACTGAGTAGTTGTCGAAACATTTTCTTTGTTTAAACGAATTTAGCTTGACCGAATGAACTGATATAGCCTAGGGTAAACAACTTTGATCCTGTAGAAAGCCCTGGATTTAGATTATCTACTTACTAGTACATATGTATAACCTAGAAGGCCTCCAACATCGTTCATGTGATTCAAACACACTCCACCCAGCGTACTTCACTAAGGGAGTTTATCACTGAGGTATTCGTGTCGCCAACAACCTCTTGAGGGACTGTAAAAGATACCCGAACTGATCCCTAGGGGGAAAATTTGTTATGTCATCTTATCTTCATCGTTGACAGTATTCTGTCAGTTGACTTAATAAGTCAGTCACTAAGCTAGGCGATTAACAACTGGATGACGTTTCGAGCACAATTTATTGTTTCCAATTAGATCTTATTCAGGCTTTACTCTAATTTACATAGATTATGCTAAAACGTTTTTAACCGATGACGGTGATTTTGTGGATCAAATAATAATAATGTAGTAAATGTTTTGAGCGTCATTAATAACGATGATTATAATGATAACAAAATATTGATTATAAGTTTATGCAGATGGCGATAAGAATAACAAAGGTAATGAGTAATATGTGTATATGTAGACAATTCAATAATTTAACAAATTAAGTCAAATCTTAAAAGTTATGTAATACTAGAGGTGAAGTGACACTCTGACAAATAGTTCCCATTAGCTTTTGTTCTCCTTTCTTTGTTACCATTATATTGTTGCTCACATATTCTATTACACACTAATTTTACTTTTCCTATCCTGTGGTGCATTGTTTAAATATTTGAATGCAATGCTGTTGTTTTTTATTTCTTTTATTTATCTTTTTTTTCTATTTGTTGTTGTTGCTTTCTATCTTTAAAATTTTATAAAATTTATGAGGTAATTAGATGCAATATTGTAATGCACGCTGAAAATTCAAAACCTGTACCACAAATACTGTTTGGAATAAAGCTATTATTATTACTATCAGAGTTTAAATAAATATCATAAAAGTACGAAGGAGATGGATGATAAGAAAGGGTGCGACGGTTTTGAATAAAATTCACCTACGCGAAGCAAGGGAGAGACAAAGATAGAACAAACTTTTTTTGTTGTTTGCAAAGTCTAGGATTGTTCTGTCGAATTAATTCCCACAGCTTCGGCTATGTGTTTGACAGGCGGGTTCGAATTCCGTTAGAAATGGAATGCGAGACACATGAACACCAAGTACAATAAAGAGAAACTGACAACAGTTAAAAAGAAAGAGCTCTTCATGAAATCGCAATTCACTGGGGACGTGGCTAGCAAAGTCTTACATCTGAGATTGTCGAGAGCGATTAAACGGAGTTATACTGCCGCCACCCTTTGTTTGTAATTTTTCAGCTCCCAACCAATTATGATTGCTCGAGTGAAAGATAAGCTACCTAGCTGTGCCACTTCGATGTGTATCTATGAATTTAGTTGCTGCTGTGGAGAAAGCTATATAGGGCGAACAACTAGACAGCTTAACAAACGCATTAATGAGTATCTTCCTTCATGGTTTGGGAAAGGTCAAATAAAATCCATACGAAGTTCTATTTTGACTCATTTGATTGATAGCGGTCATCAAGTGGACAGAAATAGTGCCTTCAAAGTTATCTATCGCATTCCATTGAGCCTTTCTAACGGAATTCGAACCCGCCTGTCAAACACATAGCCGAAGCTGTGGGAATTAATTCGACAGAACAGTCCTAGATTTTGCAAACAGCAAAAGAAATTTCTTCTACCCTTGTCTCTCCCTTGGCCTAGGTGAATTCTATTCAAAACCCTCTAACCCTTCCTTATTTTTCATCTCCTTCGTGTTTTTTTGATATTTATTTAAACTCTGATTATCTGTCCACTTCACCTACCTTTAGTATTACGCAACTTTTAAGATTTGACCTAATTTGTTGAATTATTGAATTGTCTACATATTCACATATCACTCACTACCTTTGTTATTCATATCGCCACCTGCATAAACCTTGTTATCAATATTTTGTTATCATTATAATCATCGTTATTAATGACGCTCAAAACATTTACCACATTACTATTATTATTACGATTATTATTTGATCCGGAAAATCACCGTCATTGGTTAAACACGTTTTAATACATAAATCTATCTGAATCGTGTAATGTATTTGCGCAACACATTTCGAACAATCTGATCACACACGGACTTGTCATAGGAATATATATGAAATTAATAAAGAGGTAAGAGGTGAGAAAAATAGACTTAGGTCAAGTTTAAAGGACATATTCAAGGTCAAAGTAACAATGAAGACCACTAAACCAAATAACAGAGGTAATAGTACATCTGCTATGGTGTCAAAACAAAATTTACCAAGGAAGGTTTAATGTGATGACAAATTGTTTTTGAACGCATAAAGGTGGCTTAAACTTTCTAATTGCTAGGGCTTCCACAAACTTTAGGATACGCCCCAAACACGTTTTATAGATAGGTTTAAAAGATCTGTTAACATCAATCTTATGTCCTGTTTCTATAATATGTTTTGCAATAGAGGAGCTAGGTCTCCTGTTCTCACCATTAATGGGTTCTGAAGATTCCATTTTTTTCTGGAGCCATTTAGGAATATGCTCTGAAGCCCTTACTTGCAGAGATCGATGAGTCCTCCCTATGAAGAGTTCAATTGATGATCGAAACCGTGTAGATGTCTTTCCGGTGAACCCTGATAAGTATGTTACAAATCTTTCTGATATTACTCTATCTACTCATCAGAAAGAAGCATTATCCCTTGGACTCAAATTTTGTGTTCCTCGCACGCACTTTACGGATTTAGCCATACATGCTGAGTTTGAAAACTTATACGACCAACTCAAACCTCTTGCCGCAACATCCGATGAAGATCGGGGTTGGTTTAAGGCCAAGATGGTGGATATAGCTCATCAGTTTTTAAACAACAACCCAAACGAGAAAAGCATTTTAAATTCCCAGCATTTCAAAGCCTTGAAAGAGCTACGGGAAAATCCTAATATCATTATTACGAAACCTGATAAAGGTTCTGGAGTCGTTATTATGAATAAAAGTGACTATAATTCTAAAATGATGTCTATTCTTGATGATAAAAGCAAATTTAGCCGTGATCCCTCCTCAGAAGATATCCAGTTGTTGCAGGGCACAGTGACAGCTAATCTACTGAAGCTTCAAGGCCTAAATGCTATAAGTAAAGAAAAATTTGACTCGTTAAAGCCATCAGATTGTAAATTCCCGCATATGTATGGCTTGCCAAAAATACACAAACCCAATAATCCTCTACGTCCTATACTGTCAATGTGCAAATCCCCAACACATAAACTTGCTAAATGGTTAGTAGAATTATTGCATCCAGTTAAAACACAATTCTGTAAGTATGTGTTAAAAGATACATTTGAATTGATTGATTTTCTTGACAATAGTAATATTAATATTATGAATAAGAATATGTACTCTTTTGATGTAAACTCGTTATTCACTAATGTGCCTTTGCTCAAAACAGTTGACATTTTGTGTGATTATATTTCCACAAACAATTTTTTCATCCCGTTCCCTATATCTTATTTAAGGGATTTATTACTTCTATGTACTAACAATGTTAGGTTTACATTTGAAGGCGATTGTTTCCGCCAAGTTGATGGTGTTGCTATGGGAAGTCCGTTAGGGCCCCTTTTAGCAGATATTTATATGTCGCACATTGAGAATTTATCGGAGGATTTAATCGAAAATGTGCCACTTTATAGAAGGTATGTAGACGATATTGTAATCATCAGTGATAAGTCTTGTTCTGCTACCTCAATTTTAAATCGAATGAATGAAGTCCAAAATAGCATATCACTTACATCTGTAGAAGAGGAAGATAACTGTTTATCTTTCCTAGATATACTGCTTAGTCGACGGCTTGATGGGTCGATAAAAAGATCTATTTATAGAAAACCTACCTGGACAGGACAGTATCTTAATTACCACAGTTTTTGCCCTGTTCGGTACAAAAGAGCCTTAGTAAGGTGCCTCTTCAGTAGAATCCAACGAATATGCACTGAAGACACACTTGATGCGGAAGAAGGAAAATTGACACAAACTCTGGTTGATAACAATTATCCAGACAAGTTCATCAGGAGATATAAAGTAGTCAGAACACCAAGACCCACTCTCCAACTCGCCCCTAAGAAAGACGTATACATCAAGCTACCCTATATGGGGCATCAAAGCAGCTTGATAACTAGACAAAGACTGAACGCTGCTGTCAAAAAGACTTTTTATGCAGCCAATATCATAATAATAGAGAATGTTAGGCCAATATATCTATCTAAGCCCTTCGAACATGAGAAAAATGACGTCACATCCCACTGTATTTACCAATTTGAATGTACGTGTGGACACACATACATAGGGAGGACTCATCGATCTCTGCAAGTAAGGGCTTCAGAGCATATTCCTAAATGGCTCCAGAAACAAATGGAATCTTCAGAACCCATTAATGGTGAGAACAGGAGACCTAGCTCCTCTATTGCAAAACATATTATAGAAACAGGACATAAAATTGACGTTAACAGATCTTTTAAACCTATCTATAAAACGTGTTTGGGGCGTATCCTAAAGTTTGTGGAAGCCCTAGCAATTAGAAAGTTTAAGCCACCTTTATGCGTTCAAAAACAATTTGTCATCACATTAAACCTTCCTTGGTAAATTTTGTTTTGACACCATAGCAGATGTACTATTACCTCTGTTATTTGGTTTAGTGGTCTTCATTGTTACTTTGACCTTGAATATGTCCTTTAAACTTGACCTAAGTCTATTTTTCTCACCTCTTACCTCTTTATTAATTTCATATATATTCCTATGACAAGTCCGTGTGTGATCAGATTGTTCGAAATGTGTTGCGCAAATACATTACACGATTCAGACAAATTACGTCTTCTTATTGCTTTATCTAAATTCATAAAGGGAACTAATTGTTTTACATAAATCTATGTAAAAATTAGAGTGAAGCCTGAAGATAGAATTGAAAACAACAGTATTGTTCGCTTATATGTCCTGATCACAATTAATGGCTCATAATCATATTAAAGGTGACACTATCGTGTACACTATATATGGTGTTAGGTGATTATAGGCAATGCTCACGAAGTCAAATACCTGCATATTATATATGCGTATATATATAAAGTGATTGGTAAAAAATTGTAAGACAAGAGGCTGAAAAGTTCTATCTTCTCTATATAGCAGGTCAGATGAGGAACTTTCTTTTTTTTATTTATTTTGATTTTATTTTGATTTGCAGCTTGATTCCACACCGTATTTTCAGTACGAGTGTGGAATTTTCAGCATGGATATCGGTAGCCCAAATTCAGGCCGACCATAGATATCGGGTGTGCGCCGGCAGGGGATCGAACCCCTGACCATGTGCATGGTCGGTGAGAGTCCTATCCACTGTGCCACCGACGCACTTTCTTAGAAATCAACAAAATATGAAGCAATTAACAATGGTGGAAATTCCATTCTGTATAAAAGTTATGCTCTGGAATGTCCTTACTATTGAGTGAAGAAAATCTCCCTTATCGACATAATCACCAGTCGTATTTATATTTACCACAAGAATGTATATTAGTCCATTATTGAGTAATACGTGAGGGGAGGCTGACATAACTGATATAATTGCTCATAAGTGGCTTCAAAAGTAAAAAATAAAAGCTGTAAATTACGTAATGCTCAACGGCACAAAGAGGAAGAAAGCGTTAGAAATTTAATAGGGTTAAAATTGTTATTGAGTGAGAAGAAAGGCAGTAAAGTATCCATTTGAAAAGTGTGAGCAAGGTGAGAAAATGTACAGAAGGAACACATGGTAGTGATAATAGTGAGTTAATTAATTAAGTTAAAGCAAACTAATCATTAAAAATAAAAAATGTACAGGGAACGACTAATGAAGAGGTTACGACAATGGTAGAATAAGAGTCTGGATAAGCGTTTGCTGTATACAGATTTCGAGGTTGTACTGACGAGTTGCCAAAGCCTCCGCCAAACACAAATGCTGAAACCTGACACCCTTTGTACCACTTGGTCTCACCTTGTAGATAATCTTCAAAGATGACTCTGGTGCAGCTGCGTTTCTTGACCTAATAATAATAACATATTTATTGTGGACAGTATTTATAAAATGTGCGGAATTTCATAGGAGTTTATTGCATGATATTCCCCATTCGTACAATATCTTCGATTAAAATATTAATTAATGGACAATATATACTGTGTGTGGCACGGTGGTCTCTGAGCTGAATCAAAAACCATTCCATTATCGCATTTATATCTGCTTTATCTCCTTCAAGAAGAAATCCACAATATCTGGTTGAAAGTCACTTGTAAGATGTCCAGAAGTACATTTTGAGATCGAAAGATATAACTGAAAAACAGTCATCTCATGTATTTGGACACGTCGCCACCCACAATCAGGTCATTTAAACACAAACAAGAGTAGATAATATAATTAGAGGTCATATCTTAATCGATTACAACAAACCAAACTAGAGAAAATATGTGCGATAGGCAGATGGAATATTTTGGTAGCCCAAAATTTAAAGCAGGCCACCAAGTACTCGGGAATTGAGCTAGTAACCGTCTTGCATTACCCTTTAGTCAACCATACAGGCTAATGTTCAGAAATGCGTTTGCACTTTGTGCGGCCGATATAACTAGCTCCACACGAGCAGGTGAATTTATAAACACACATTGAAGTGATCCAAAGTGGCAGTTTATCCTTCAAACATCCATTGATCATTTGTCGGCTGTAAAATTGATCCGTAGCTCAGCCGCAAAGAAGGCTATTCTCAGTGATCTGCATAAGCGACTCTTCAGAATCTCGTCTGCAGTATCACCTTTAAATTCAACGTTCATGAATACCAGTCTCTTGTGCACCATCTAGGTTCTTCTCAAAGGGGCCAAACTATGAAAATTCGTATGTTGACCTTTCCATCCTGGTTTCCTGCAGATCTATCTTTGAAGAGAATCGTCGGACCTCCTTTTCTAGAAAAAAACCAAAAACAAGAATTCCGAGTTCATCTCTGATTCCAACGTGAACTTCATAGCATGATGGCACTTGGTGAACTCCCTAGTTAACATTTCGATGTTGGCATTCTGGTCTCATATGATAAAAGTCTCATTCATGTATCTTTGGTGCATATGAACACTGTCGATAGTGGGTTGTAGCATACTATTCTCAAGACATGCCATGAAGCAATCACTTCTGAGTAATTATATATATATATATCATAATATTGACTTTGCGTAATTTCATTAGTAAATTTTTACCTACTTCTTAGAACTGTTAAGGAACGTATGACACTTCACATTGAAGTTAGTCCTGAAGATGTTGTCCATAAGAATAATTGAAACGTTGACAACTGAACCATCTTACTCAGATGATTTTAGATGGGTGGAGGCAATCGGCCACAGGAAGCATTGCCTAACCTAGGCTTCGTGTTATTTGGCACTCACCAGTCAGCAAGGTGTATCTGCAACCGCCTTGAAGGAACTCATATCTCTTCTGAGGAGATTCGAACCCGCGTCACTCAGTGCTGCCTGCAGTCAGAGACGTTACCACTAAGCTAGCTATTCGGGCTCGCGATTAACCTCCCGTAGGACTGCTTCGGATACTTTGACTGGACACTAGTAACTAGTGTCCAATCAAAACATCTTCCTCAGAGAATACAATTATACCCATAAACCTTCAGTCGAGCTATAAAGATTCTTTAATATCTCAAAAACGGGTACTGTAAAAGACTTCTTTTTTGAAAACTAATATGTTACTTAGCTCAGAGATAGTCATAGACAATTAACCTAAAAATCCAACATATGGACGACTTTATTTCCCTTATTTTAATTATAAAATATTCCTGAGGATTCTTCAATTTTGTTTTCTTTTTTCTTTCTATTTTCCCCCACCCAATTGTTTCATAGTCTTCGCATTCGCTAAAAACTATTACCTTCTGTTAACTGCAAGAGGTATACAAGGCTTAGGATCTGCTTGTTCTACAGTATCAGGTAAGATTTTGAAAATGTTCGTTGACTTTAAACTGAAATTAAAACAAAATGTGTAAGTAAAACAAAAAAAATTGTTTTCAATGAGGTCTTCTCCTGGCTTTACCCAATTTTACATACCTTTGTATGTACATATGAGGGGAACATACTGCTTCAGCAGAATACCTCCATTTAGTCTTGTTCTCTCCAGTCCTCTTCAACTTGCTGCACGGCTGCTCGTAAGCTCCTCATCTAGCCCTGACACAATCTCCTCCATGCTTACTTCTGACCCTCCCCCAACTCGCCGTTACTTATTCCAGTTCCATTCTAGGTTCTCCTTGGAGCACGATGGCACTTAACATTTTCTTCAACATGTGTCCCATATATTTCCATTTTCTCCAAACTATCTGTTAAGCAATAAGTTCTTGATTTATTCTCCGTCAGAGCTCCTTGTATCACACTATCCATTCCATTCCGCTGTCTTACTCACATCTAACTATTTATTTCCCGTTCGATTTACACGCGAGAATCTACCTGACGCGTAAAGTCCCACGATGGTATCATCATGGATTGGCAATTAACAAGCCCACTGACATAGATGAAATTTACCAACTCATGAGAGGAAAACCTAATGCGCGAAAAGTTACAATTTAGGTCAAAGAAACAATCAATACCAATACAAACAGACTAGATGATGTGAAGACAGATACGAGCAATCAATCAATTTCAAGGTCACCAGAAGAGATGACTAATAAACGCGTGGAGAATTTTAATAGCTTACTTCAAATTGAAGTATGCTCTGAAGGAAGATGTTGCCTAGTAGGTCAATGAAAGCTTCGCAAATAAACCATCCTGCTGAGAAGAGAACACAACTACACCAAAATTTAGACAGTCCACTTCCATTCCATCTGATCTCACAGATTCCTATCACTTCAATGTTATATCTCGTTATTTTGCATTCTGATAGCGACTCTTACATTTGAAACATTTGTCCACTACATTATAAACGATTTTCTTAAATGCAGCTGTCTGCGATAACTGCACCAATGATATTACCAAAGGTGATATCGATTTCAGTCTAAAAAGTAATAATAATCGATTTCTCAGTACTTATTCTTATTTTCTCTTCACAAAATAACTGACAGTTCACTCCAGTAAGGTAGTCGGAAACAGAGTGTGTCATTCTAAATACATTTAATCAATATTCCTGTCAGTGACATTTGCAAGAATGAATGACAGGATTGTCAAACTTTGTATTTAATTAAAAATTAGATAGTGAGGAAAAAACATGGTTAGTTTTGAGATTGCAGTTTATATACACATTTACTGATAAATATGGCTATGGAGGCTGTCAGAAATGAACTCATTTCTGACTTGAACTTAAAACGAAAGTGTCACTAGAGGATATAATGCTAGGAGTGCAACTGTGCCTGACTTCCATAGTGTTTAAATTCCAGGGGAAAATATACTAACAAACTGAGGGGTTTTTCATGGAGTCACTAATATCCCTGATTGTGATAGATATATTCATGGATAGGTGGAAAGAGATAGTGATTGAAACTTTCAGCCTCACCCGCCCAAAGTAAATTGGAGGTATGTAGATAACACATTCACTGTACTTAGAACACAGGAGATAAAACAGATTTTTCGAACTCATCAACACGAAGGTAAAGGTGATTCATTTCGCTTATGAACTGGAAGGTTAGGTAGAGGAGCTTCTAATGTTAAATTATAGTGTAAAGAGGAAAGGAAATGGGAAGTTAAAACACACTAGTGTTTACAGGAAACCCACATATTCAAACAAATATTTAGACTTCCGATCATCCCATCCTCTGTCAGTGAAAACAGGATTGGTGAAATGTTTAAGTAATAGAGCACAAAAACTAAGTAGTACCGATTAAAATCTAAGACAGGAAGTAAGGCATGTAAGAGAAGCTTTGAAGCTTAATAATTACCCTGATAAATTAGTCAGAAGGTATGTAGGGAAATGTAAAAATAAAATAAATAATGACAGTAGGCATAGTAGTAATATTAATGACGACATGCATGTCAAACATGTGCAAGATAATAACAACACCAACAATAAGCAATCTAAATCATCAGTAGTACTTCCATACAACGAAGGAACCTCGGAAGCCTCGGAGATGGAGAATTCTTAACAAGGCAGGAATAAAAGTGGCTGGCATTCAAACCCACAAACTCAATTAGAAACAAACTTTGTCGGTTAAAGGAGCCTTTAAACCAAAACAATTTAGTTTATCTAATGCACTGCAATGATTGTCAGGTCAAATACATAGGTCAAACTAGTAGAACAGGAACAGTCAGACTAGCGGAGTACAAAAACTAGAAAAATCTAGATTGGTTGACCCGAATAAGATAAGAAATCGGGAGAATAGTTCAGCTATAGCACCACATGGAATTACACACAACCATACAATAGGATGAGATAATACGAAAGTTTTAAAGTCGAATGTCACAGAGTGGAGAGGGAGATTGATAACGGCAGCTTTGTTGATCGAATCGACTGTAAACACATGTAATAGGAAGGATTCAACATCTGTACTGAAAATCACATGACTGGGAAGAATAAACAAAAGGGAACCCTGCAAACGAATAAACTAAGAGCCTATGGCCCAAAAATATGTCGAACGAAACGGAGACGAATTTGGACATAAGATGAAGGAAAACGCACGATGGACTATCTAGGGGAACCCCGAATGGGATCAAGGGTGATACGGTGAAACCTTGATATCTTTGGATGTATTTTCAACAGCTTGTTATATTTCAAACCCATATTTTATAGTTATTCCTAATAGTATGACCTGTTTTTTATTGATGTTCCAAACAAATAGGTATGGGGATGTTAGCCACATATTTTGTTGATGAAGTTGAACGAGGTCATGCATTCGCTTTTGCTTTAAGTGGATTGGCTATTGGTGTCCTGAGTAAGTTTATTGTTGAATTGAAGTGAATTCATTTGTCAATAATTTAATTTTCTAAAGTCTGGTTTGTAAGGATTAGTTATGTTTTACGAGTTGATCACGGACTGATATCAGTTAGAGAACCATTGAAAACCAGGCAGTACTGGACAGCTGCTGTTTCATCCTAGTTTGGGAATCATCGGCAATACGCACCCACTGAGTAAAGTTTCATCTCTATGCCTTCTGTTTTACTATATTTCATTGAAATGAGGACAAAGTTTGTATTTTACTGGTATTTTATTATTATTGTTATTCAATTTATGGATGGTGACTAGTAGTGGAATCCAGGATAACGCGAATTTCGTCCTATTTGGGACTCGTCCGCCAGCTGGATGTACCTGTATTTCGCATTGAGTGATGATGTTCCCACTGAGGCTCGAACCCAGCTGACGAGTCCCAAATAGGACGAAATGCGCATCCTGGATTCTACTGCTAGTCACCACCAACTAATTAAATTCTGATTAAATGCCCAGACACCGTCGAAGCATCTGAACAAGAAGCCGACATGTCAACCTGAGACCGAGCACTTCGGTCCAATCAATCGATGGGAAAATCACGAATTCAATTAAATCATTATTATTCCCTTGGGTTCCGAGTGGAACACAGGGCTTCAACAACATATCTCCACTACTAATATATGTGTAAAACTTGGGCACTGTGGTAGTAAGTAATTCCATATAAGTTTGTTCATTATTTACTGGATGACGTTTGGAACAAAATTTATTGTTCATAATCATATCAATTGTAATCACACGACTTCGAAACTTGAGTTTCATAGTTTTCTTTGTCATTCCCTATTCGTCGTCGCATTGGTAGTCGAATTTCCCAGATATCTGGGACAGGTGTTGAATCATTCCTATTACACACGTGTTTGCACTTGATTCGATAAATAAAGCATCTGTTATCAATCTTTCCCTATACCCTGTGACATTAGATTTTAAAACTGTCATCCTATCCCATCCTATTTTATGGTTGTGTGTTACTGCATGTAGTTCTACAGCTGAACTATTCTCTAGATTTCTTATCTTGTTCGGGTCAACTAATCTAGATTTTGGAAACATTTATTTCCCGATACGAATTTAAAACAAGCAATAAAGGTTAATAAAGCAGGATTTAATGAATTCATCAAATTTCGGTAGAACTCGTCAGCTGAATACTCTACATACAACTATATCTCCCAATGTAACTTCAAAAGTATATATCCGTGTATGTAGAGTATTCAGCTGACGAGTTCTACCGAAATTTGATGAATTCATTAAATCCTGCTTTATTAACCTTTATTGCTTGTTTTAAAATCTAGATTTTGCTAAGTTTTATTTTCAGCTAGTCTGACTGCCCCTGTTCTACAAAAAGATAAGAAATCTAGAAAATAGTTCAGCTACAGCACTAAATGCAGTTACACACAACCATACAATAGGATGGGATAAAATGACAGTTTTAAAATCTAATGTCACAGGGTGAATGGAGGGAGAGATTGGTAACAGAAGCTTTGTTTATCGAATCAACCGCAAATACATGTAATAGGAATGACTCATCACCTGTCCCCAATATCTGGAAAATTCTACTACCCCTACGAGGACAAATAGGAGAGAATAAAGAAAGTTGTGTGGTTATAATTGATATGATTATGAACAATAAATTTTGTTGGAAACGTCATCCAGTAAATAATGCTGTTTCACTGTGTGATATATCTAATAAACAAACTAATATGGAACACATCTCCACTTTCTTCTATTTTCCGCTGTCTTTTTCAGCTGAGTTCACAATTGTCAATAATCTCTCATCTCTTTAAATCTACACGATATCCTTTACATCACTCTCGAAGTGACGACTCATTTGTCGCTTCCCATTGGGATTCCACTCAAGTGATCGATGGCCTGCATTGAACACGATGTCATTCGACGGCCTCCACAACGTATGCCAATCCATCTCTATTTCCTCCGATATATTTGTTGAACAATAGGCTCTTGATTGGTTTGTCCCCACAGTTCCCTATTGCTAATTCTTTCTGGCCGACCATTTCATCTTCAGTATGGAGCCAGACAACGGAGTAGCTGTTGATAAAAGTCTGTGCTTACTGAAAATTCTTTTCGTGACACATCAAGTTTCTGACCCCTATAGTAGAACTGACTTGCTGACTTCCCATTTGTGTTGAAAATCCGAATCTCGTTCTTTCTGCTGAGGAACGCGGAAGATTTCCAAAATGGTTTCAGGTTGATGAAGGTGTACCTTGCTTTCGTAATTCTGGCTGACTTTGGCATCTTCATCTGTTCCGACTGCATGTGGTTGAATCGATACTTCCTAGATAAGTGAAGGTAGGAAGTAACCTCTGTCAAATTTCTCCTGTTGATGGTGATTGGCTCTGTTTGTATTTGCTGTTGGTTGGTTGGTTATCTTCATCACCTCAGCCTCCAAATTCTCTGTGTTCACCTGGAATCCTGTCTTCACTGCCTGCTTCTTCAGCCAGTTTGTTGGGTTCGGCCTGCCTGCACGTCTTCGAGTATGTGTAGGTGACATTAAGCACAAATCATCCACGCGCGAAATCCAGATCTTTTAGAGTCCTCTTATTGGTCACTACAGCGTATTCCTGTCTTCTCATTTCCAACTCACTGTCTGGTTCATAATCCCGTCCACCACAATTAGGAATAGCATCGGTGATAACAGGTAGCGAGCGTTGTCTTACTCCTACATTCACTTCAAAGGCTTCTTCTGTGAGTTTTCTGTTGTGGATCACCTGACATGTGGTAATGTTTTAAATATTATATTTTATTTATTCCTCTACGTTCCTAGTGGGACAGGGCTTCAAGCTAGAGGCTTGAAGTTTTGGTAGCAGTTGTGTTCATTGTTACGGAATGGGGTTGCTAGCCAGCCTCATGCCCAACGTTGCCTCTTTACCAGTCTTATTACTGGTTTAGCAAAGTAGACGGGTGCGTCAGTCGGTGATCGAACCCCGAACCACTTGTAACGTGGTTGGTGAGCATTCTACCGCTGTGCCACCGACGCAAATACATGTGGTATTTGATACTATTCACAAATCTGATGCTCACCAGAGGCTAGCCCTATTGAGGCAGTTAACTTGGGGTTCTAGTGGGAAGCCGTGACCAGTAGGGTGCAGCAGGTTGAAGGTAAGGCAGTAACTCATCGAAGAAGACATTGCTAAGTGGTCACGTTACGTTGTGAATTGGCAGAAATTAGAATTCATGGACTGGCCATTGGGTCGGGTCTCAGTGGCCTAATGGTCTACAAGCTCACTGGCCTTGCAACCAGAAGGTCCTGGGTTCAAACGCTGACTGTGGGGTGGGTGCGTACCAATGAAGAGGTACAAACTACGCTGACGAAACAGCTGTCCAGTACTCCAGCCCTGGTATCCAATGGTTCTGTAACTGATGTCAGCTCATTACAAAGTCCTCCAACCAATCAAACAATACTCCCCACAAAACCAAATCTTGAAAATTTAGAAAAAGTGTTCAACTTGAGTTCGATGAGTTCCTAAACAATCACTTCATTACACAACATATATCCTTCATCGAAAAGGTTGACTTCCGTATATGACTAAAACGAAACGACTGAAAATTCTCTTTCTCTTATACCTTCTATATTTCCATCTTTGAAACAAACAAAATTGTATCTCTTGATACCATTGTATCATGCGAAAATGACTAGCGATCATTTCAATGCTTATTACTTATGCTGTAATGAACCTTTACTATATTATTCCACCAGAGACGAGAGACCGGATGAAGATATCTACAGTTAAAGACGGTTAGCCATTTCAAGGCCTTCACATATCAAACGCAAAGAAGGGTGGAGTGAGCGTTTTGCATTTTGTGCTGAGATTTTACCAGAAGTCAGTCCACCATTATGGCTATTGTGACTTCGCAAATAATCGAAGTGGTCAGAATGTTCCTTAGAAACTTTAGGAACTTAATTAACACTGTAGTGAATAACAAGTTACATTAATGCGAAATTTAAGAATCATAATTACTTACAAAGTATTCCGAGAAAAGCAATACGAAATATCAGGGTCTCGAACACTGGAAACCTCTTCACTGATAAATATTAAAAGTGTGTTTTGTGATAAAAGCTGTCTGCTAGTCAGAATTGGTAGACAGCAATTTACGTCAATGTTTACATCCCAAATCTTGGTCATGAGAAAAAACAAGAACAAAGCCTAACACTGAGGAACTCAACAATCAGTCACAGCAGGCTTTGCTTGGGTGGATATGATTCGCAGATATATCACTGGACTGTCTAAGAAACGGCAACAAAGAGATAACAGAATAGCCTTCAGCAAGAAAAGAACCAATCAGAAGACGTTGCTGCTCTACTAAAAATAACGAATTATAATGTACATACAAATCTATAAATATCTGTTGATTTTCTCAATAAACGATCTGTTGCCTGGCCCTTGTCTTCTGTCGTTACATTTCGATGGAAAATGACGACGCGTATAACTAGGAAGTACTAGTAATCAGGTTGACTGCCCAGTGATCATTGGTGTTGACTGAAGCATACCGATGAATAACTAACGCCGAACAGAATTCTCTACAGTTGTCGTAGTGTGATACAGAGAGTGTGTTCCAAAGGAATATTATTCTCACATAATCCGACAAAAGGAGTTGTATACAAACACCGTTCAAGAGGGTCAGGACTCCCTGCAGCACTTCCACTTTAAGGAAAATTGAAGAAAGATATCTCATGGACGTCACGCAAAAGAATGGATATCCACGAAACTTCATCAAAAGACATATACCCTCAAGCTAACCTACTAAAGCAAAGGCCCTCAAGGAAAGCACAAAGAAAATCGCCCCACCATATATAAAGGACATCTCAGAAATCACTGAAAGACTCGTCAAACCTTTAGGAATTGATGTCGCACACAAACCAACAAAATCACTTCACTCAGTTCTATGTCAACCAAAAGACTCAACAACGAAAGAAGATCAAACCAACATCATCCACAA